TTTTTTTTTTTTTGCAAAGTAGTTTATATTGACTAAGCTATTTTCAAACAAATTTTTTAATAATTATTGATTCATGATAATTTTGAAGCATGTTGAAATACCTGTGAATTTTAAATTAAATAATTGTTAGTTCTATGGTTGTTGCACTTACTTCTTGTTAGTTAGAAAATTTTGCAGAAAATATCACCTGGCTGGCTTGATGTTCGCATGTCTTATTTTGATATTGCTGCTGAAATGGAACAGCTGTTTGCTCTTGGGCGAGCATTGCGGACTGGTAGAATGACCTGGATAAACTCGGATCCTAGTAAAATGCATGAAGATAGTGAACTTGTGAAGTCTGCGTTGCAATCTCTTCTTGATGGGACTCTAACTTTTTCTATGAGTAATGATCCTTAGCATTTCTTTACTAGTTGTGCTAAAGCTGGGAGTACTCAAGATTTATTCTACGATTTTATCTTGACTCTAGATTATCATAAACACTTCCATTTATTTCGTTGTGTTGTATCTTCAAAAAATTGAGTTTTGTGAACCGAAATGAGATGGAGTCGAATTTTCACAATTATGCACTTGATACGTATTGATCACTTTGATCAAAAGATTCTGGAAAATTTTTTTCTTCTCGGAAAAAGTGCTTTTCGCTTGTAGAAGAAATTTTGGACAGAAACATTGGGCTGGGAAAACCTCATGATTTCACCGAAGAAATTTGGCTTATATTACTACATTGTCCTTCAAATCGATGTCTTATAGAAGCTTTGGAGTGTGTTTTCAATGCATTTAAATCGGGATATAAAAGTACAGTACGTATTTTTTCTGATATTTTCCAGAGAGCCATTTTTTCGTGAAGTTGAGTGGGATATGTACATGTCATTTAATAATGATGTGCGCATCAGTTTTTAAATGAATTTCAGATACTTCCAAGTAACAGATCTACTATGGCACGAGTATTGCGTGACGCAAATTGCAATGAATTGCTGCTACCACGTTTGGAGGGCCTAACACCTATTCAGATCTGCTTGGAGATGGGTTTAGAAAGATTGCGAAGAACTTGCGTGAATGAATTTCTTGATGATGAAAGTTGTCTTGTTTTCGTTTTCTTGAATGATACTAGAGATTAGCTAACTAGAACTTGGTCTTATATTTTTGTGTTTTTGTGAGTTTCTAGGATATCTGGGTTCTATGGCCGAAATCCATGAAGTTTTTGATTTTCGCATCGGGCAAGAACCGCAGTATCAAGCTGATGCTCTTTTTTTGTTTTACTGCAGTCTTTTGGTGATGAAAACGTGCAAGCAATATTTCAAGCTTGATAGTTTGCACATTCATACCATATCGAGTTGAGTTATTTGTTCCTGTAAAGAATAAGATTTTTGGAGCAAAAGGAAAAAAATTCGTTAAATGGTCACTCAGCGCTTTGTCATGCCCTTGAATTTTTTTCTTTTTGTTTTATAGGCAGATCCTTGGACAATACAGCAAATTATCTCTATCACCTACGACTGAAGATATATGTGAAAATATGATTGGGGAGATGACCTTTACACTCAACTCTGCGCTGTTATTTGGAGATGTCGTCGAAGCTGCCTATAAAAAGTGTAATTTTACTCGAATTTAGTTTTCCTTTTTTCTTAGTGTTCTGTCTTTTTGTTTCTTGTATCCAATTTTTGAGCATCTCATTTTGTACTGCAGACTATGATTAGATATACGTAAAAAGCAGTTCTGAGCGAAATGGTGAATGAAATTATAGATGTTTTTATGTTGAATTCGTATACTGCCAGGTATCTCATTTTCATTGTCGACCACCTAAATTGAATTTTAAGGTGGGAGATATATGATAGGATATTTCTTGGATAGAAAGTAATAGTGCTTTTTGTTGTGCGTTTTTTCATGCATTATTCTTTTTACCCAAAGCTTTTACTATTTAGTTGTTCTCCAAAAATGTGGAAGTCAGAAGTTGTAATAGAAACGCCTAATAAACAGGGTTGGGTTGCACGCAGCATGATTCTGTGTTCTCGTACAGCATGGCCTATAAACTTGATGAATTCTGACCTGAAAGAATCAGCATTAAGCGAGAAAAGTTCGAAAGAAGAAGAGAATATTGGACGATCTAACTGTTCGAAGGTTTCTTTAGAAGTTTGAAATTGATCATAGTGCGTAAATTCTGGTATGATACGATAAAATATTAGCTCTAAATATAATAGAATTGGTATTAGTATTTTACAATTTCAACATAGTTCATTAGCTTCATTGCATCACTTAAGTCTTTTTTACGATTCAATAGAGAGAACTTCACATTGTTCATAATTTTTCTCATATCTACTACTAAAATCTTGCTTTAATTTATTAGAAGCAGGTTTTGCAAAATTATGCTGTCTAAATTCTCACCTTATGAATAAGGTCGAGTTTTTGGTTATTAGTGCATTTTTTAGTTAGCGTAAACAAATTTGATTGCTCGTTCTTAATTGATGATTGGTGATTTAAATGATTAGAAATTTATCAGTTATATATAATAGTATTTTACTTGATAGCTGAGCATCTGATATGTTTCATGACTTGCGTGTAAATGACGTCATTTGTTCCATGTTGTTGACATTGATGGCAGTGATAATATTCATGATGAAAATAATGAATAGGTTGATATATCTTACATAAATAAAAGTATATTAATATTTTAGGAAGATATGAGCTCAATAGCGTTTCAAGATCCTGCGTCAGAAGACAAGGGTTCAAATTTAAGTGGTGTAGAAAAGATGGAATCAAACATATCGTTGAATCGTTATGAAATTGCTGTAGTAACAGGCAGTTTTACTCCGTCATTAATGGATTGATGATTATTTTTATTTGATTGTAGAATAGGCTATTGAACATTATTAAGGAATTTTTCGATAGTATTTCTGTGTCTGTATAATGTTTATTTATTGCGAGACAGTACTTGCAGCGAAAGTTGTATTAAATATAAATAAATGCAGCTTATTCAGATGAAGTCATTCTTCTTATATGGACTATATTGATTGAGTTATAATCCTACAGTTTTTCATGACATTAATTATTAATGTGTAGTTTGTAGTTGCATGTCGTTTATAATAAACTGGAACCAATAAATCTTTGTTTATGAGTTTGGAGTACATCACAGTTATGTTCATTATTTTTACTTGTGCATTATTATTTTATCGGTGCTTTTAAGCTTACTAAATTCTCTATCGTGGCGCTTATTTTACGTTTTGATACACTTGGTGGGTTTGTACTCATGCGTTGTCTAAATTTTTCTTCAAACTCTTTGTAGAGATGATGAGAAATAGCGGTTTGGATAGATGTTCTGAATATGCAGCTCAGTTCTTTGGGTTTGTTCCGAAAGGATTCACAGATGTTGGTTAGAATATGAATTTAATTTGCTCAATTTTTGATCACTAATATTTTGAGCATTGCATGTTATAAGAATTCATGATTTAATTTTTCCAGAAGTGGTATATTGGAGAGATTACTTCAACTTTTTCTTCGACATTGTCGTATTTCAATGTACAATTATTTTCTAGTATTCAATGATTCATATTTTCAGTTTACAATATAATTTTGGAAAAATGGGCAGATATTGTTGAGAAGACAATTGTGCCCATTGTACCATTGGATGATTCAGATGATGATAATATCAGAATGCGTTTGAAAGTGGAGTTGACTAGACTGATTGCAAAAAACAATATTTTGAACTCACTCGTGAATAAACTAGAGGTCCTTTACTTCTTTTAATCTACTTGATAATAAACTTTGATTGCAGAGTTGACATTACTTAGCAGCTTAGTTTTAGTTTTTAGGCATCGAGATCGCAAATATATTAAGCTATTTTTAATAACTCATTAATTTTTGTTTAATGTGGGTACCTCGCATTTGCAATACTTTTTACAATATGCAAGATGAAGTAAGAATACAAAAAATCTAGCTTTTTCTTCCAATGACGCTTTGCAATCTGGAAATTCCAGGCATACGTGCTTGGATATGTGTTTCGGATACCTGATGAAGTGACTCTTCCTGAAGACAGGCCGAATTTGGTGATTGACAAAAAGTGGTCACTGAAAGCTGCTAATAAAAGAATACGAAAACTGAAAACTGATATCATTCATGTATATATTTTGACGAAAATATTCAAGTTAATGCAATAGTTTTAAAAATTTTAAACAAAGCTTATTAATTAGGAAGATGGTTTCTTTTTGTTATATTAACATTTGAGCTTCAGCTGAGAATGGCCAGCGAATTTCTTGACAAGGAGATCATGTATAACCAGAAAGCGGTACAAATGTGGGAAGCTATGCAACAAGTTGATAGTATCGAAAGTAATGGTGCTGAAAATGATAAAAGTGATGAAGAGCATGATTAAACTACATAGAGTAGATGGTGAAAATATTGATAACATGTAAGGAGTTTTTAAAAAAAAGTGAATATTAGTCATTTTAAAATGTCACTTCAATTCTTCTTTCACGCCTGTTTATGGATGAAAAATTTTTATAAAAAAATAGGATCATGAAGATTTCTTGTTGTTATTTCTGTATCTTTGTGCTAAATGACTTGCGATTATTAAAATATTAGACAGATTTTAGCAATGCGTTCTTGAAAACTTTTAAAAATGAAATTTTTCAGTATGGAAATGGAGTCACTGGTGTCAGAAACTTTCATCAAAACTACTTATTTTGTGAACAAGTTGAGTCTATCTTATGATGCTAGAAATTATGTTTCTGTAGCTGGTTTAATGACTGAATGTTGATTGTGATGGTTTTTGAACTTCATCTGATTGATTCATTCAAAAAATTGTCACGTTATATATGGATTACTTTGATAGTGCTTTGTGAGAAAAGAAGGAAATTGTAGTTGGCGTAAACTATGACTAGAGTATATTTGGTTTTGCTTGAAAATAAACGCAAAAATGAAAAGCTTACTTTTTTCAAGTTGATTTCTGCATTTGTATTATCATAATGTGGTATTTTCATTTTGAGTTGGAAAAGTTTGCGCAATTTTATAAATTCATGGAGTTAAAAATTTTAAGTCTACATTGGAGATTGGCAATATCAGTCGCTAACTTGGTCATCTTCGTTCATAACAATCCAAATTTAAATATCATTCACGCAGAATGACTTGAATATTTCGCGTTGGATATTTGATCATTATTTATATGCTGCACTTACTTTAGTCCTTATATTCTTGAAGGATATATTATTCTTTAATATTTTTCACAAGAGCTGAAACAAGTGTAATATATGAGTATTTATTCATAAAACTTTTGTTATCTGATTTATTGACCTAAGTCAATTGATCATAAATAGTCAGAAATGAAAGGTAGATCTAATTTAAATTAGTCAATATTGTACAATGCAAAATTTACATAGTAGCTTTTGCACTGATCATAATAATGTATTCAGTGTGTGTAGATAATGTATGTTGCGTTATATCTCTTACATTTCTGTTATGAAAAGTTTTTGTTAACTTTTCAGTATGAATTAATTTATGCTTATAAGTTATTGCAGTATTTCACTTTTAAGAGAAATAAAAAAGATTTAAAAACAAGCAACTCATTTTTTATTTATTTCCTTGGCAAATATTCAACGTATTTGAAATATGCAAATAAAATGATTGATATTTATTTGGTAAAAAATTTTTTCGTTGATTTGATGGGTATTTTTGAAAAAAAATGATGTATTTGGGGGTAATAATTATTTGAAAAAACTACTATCATATGAATGTATTCAATAAATTTGATATTTGAGAATATACTTTTTTAAAATTATTACTTTATTTTTGAAAAAAATTTTTGTTCAATTTTTTTTCAAAGCAAAAATCTTGTCATTGCGTCAATTAAAAGTTTTATTTTTTATAATTGTCAGAAGCGCAAAAAAAAAAAACTTTAAAATTGCAAAGTTTTTCAAACATCTGTTAGTTCTTGCATTTGTCACAATATTAGTAAACTTTTATTTGAAATATTCAAAAATTAGTTGTGTAAGTAAGTTATTAGGACAAATTTGATTGAAAACAAATTCTATTAAAGTTTTCTATAAAAATGTTTGAGATTTAAAAGGAAGAAAAAACTATTTTACTTTTATTTTTGTTCATTTGTATGGAATAAAAAGAGAATTTTAGTGGGAAAAAAGGAGATATTTGAATTAGCTAAGTTCGTATTTAAAAAAATTGCACTTTTTTTAAAATGAATTTAATTTTACTCAAACCTTTTATAATATAATAATGTTAAAATTTCCTGACAATTGGAGAAGGCTTTTTTTATGTCAGACATTTTTTACTTTGCATTATTTTATAGCGGGTGTACGATAAATTACATGAAGAATGAGCTGATTATTCATTTAAAGTCAATTTTTTGATTAGTTATGTATTTAAATATGAAATATTCATTCCTCATATAATTAATTAAAGAGTTATCAGTACTTAAATATGGAATATTTATTTCTCATGTAATTAATTAAAGATTTATCAGTGCACGATATAGGCTATATTCGATCTTATCAATCTAACCTTGTTGTCCAAAACAGGAGGAATATTTTATTTACTATCGGTTATAATTTTTAAATATTTCAAACTAATCTTTTTTTAAATTTCCAGTTTGAATTATTAATTGTTTCTTATAAATTTTGAATGTTTCGATTATTGCTTTTTTAATATTTTTAAATTTATTATTAGCAAAGTTTGAGTCAGTTGCTGAATTTTGCAACATTTATTTTTCTTCTAAATGCTTGATTTTATTTTTTGAGTAATTTAATTCATAAATAATTTATAAAGTAGTGAAATTTTTTAAACAGTAATAAAAGTATTTTAGTATTGTATGCTAAAAATAGAACACTAATGGTTTTATCAAAAAATGCAATCAAAAGATTTGGAGTGCATTTATTTATTTAATGACATTTGAATATCTAACAATGAAATTAATGCATAAATTAGAATGACAAAATTTAAATAAAATGTTAATTTGAAAGTGCTGAAAAAAGTTTTAGTCAATCTGTTCAACAATTACAAAAATGTTATCAAACTTTTTGACATTTTTAAAATCCAAAAAACTTTTATCAAAACTGAAAGTTTGTTTTCTTTCTATATAATCTTGCATTATCAGTTCTGTTTACAGTTCACTAATGATGATGAATTTACATGTGTGTTTAATGTTATTGTCGTATTATTTGCATATTTGATAGAATACTGATTATAGATCACGTCTGAATATTGTTGTTTTAGAACAAATAATTTTAATTTATAAAATTTTTTTTAAAACTGTTTTTATGATTTTTTACAATTTTAAGAATTTTAATACATATGTATTTTTTGTAGTGATTTTTGAGATCGTTCTTGAACAAATTCATGATAGATCTGTGATACTTTGAAGTTCAAATTGCTGATTCATTTTTGTCAGTGCAATTGAATGGCAAAAAATAACTCATTTTGATAAATTGAAATATTATTAATAATTTTCATCATTTGTATTTGAAAAAAACAGAAAAAAAAGAAACTGAAATCACTAAACAAACAATTACACAAACTTTACTACTACAATTTAGCTGCTTGGATTTTTGTGATATTTTATTGGAATTAATTTTAAAAACTTTGCTGAATTTAAGGAACGATAAATAAATATGTATAATTTTTTGCAATTTACACTATTTATATTAATAAATGATCAATAGTTTTTTTCAAAATATTTATTTTATGACAAAAACGTTTCATAGAATAGACCAAATATTATAAATAGCAAAATTTTTAAATATTCAAACATATTTGTTGTAATTTTTTCAGCTGTTTCTTTTATTTGAAAAAATTACCGAACAGTTTTATCGTTTATATTTTATGCATAAATTGAAATTTTTGTAATTTGATGCTAAAAATTTTAGTTCACTGCTATGATATAATATTAGCAAGTGTTAACTTGGTTAAATCTGTAGTATTTATTTATTTGCTTCAATTTATGAAGAATATTATTGAAACATCTGCAGAATATTTATTTCAAATACAATATATTATAAGAATAAAATTGAAGTGGCAAACAGGTCTCATTATTTTCGCTCTTAATGCGCGAAAATTTGTTTACAAATGCGGTATCTAATTATAATCGGTTCCTTAGGACTCTAATTCATAGCTAGTATTTATTTGCTACCATAATTTTTTCAAAATATGTAACTCATAAGAATTTGAAATATCAAGGGATTTATTTTCTGCAGTCACACTAACATTCTACATATATGTATTTTTATTATATATTATAGTATTGCATTATAAGCATTCTGCATATATATATATATATATA